ATAATCATTAGATATTAAAATATTATAATTTTTTTATAATATTTTATAGCCAATTTATACCTACGCTTTAAGGGATACTTGAAAAACTTATTCAGATTTTAGTCTTTAAAGTTATTATTATCAAAAATTAAGGAGACATTTGTAAATGCACTAGTATAAAAAAGGCATTACTAAATTCATCTTAGAATATATAAGATCTTTACAATAGAAAGAGGGGAAATTGCCAGAAAAAATCAATTTTATTTTATATGCATAATATGATTTTAGATCAAAATATGTTCAGATTTAGCATTAACTTATTTTTTATTTTTCTTTAGCTGTTTTCCCCTTTTCTATTGCAAAGATTCTATATGGAATTGAAAATCTTTGTAAAATTCATTACCAAACAAAATGTGTTGAAAATTTATGGTCTAATATGGTGTTTTATGCTAAAGATCATATTGATTATTGGCCTTCTTTTTATCAAGAAGAATATAAAAGAGATAAAAAATATTTTTCAATTTTTGCAATTAATGAAATCTTATAAGATGAACAAAAGAGGAATAGTTACAATCTATATAAATTTTATAACATGTTATGCATAAGAATCTCAGGATTTGGATTTTTTTTTCAGCTATCAAATAAGCCAATTTTTCCATTTATTGAAGGTCGCCTTAAACAACAACTTACAGCTTATTTGGAAGGAAATCTTGTAACACAAGATTTTGGATCTGATTTATACTCTCTTACACAATTTAACTTAACCCGGAGGACATTTATAATATTTTTCGATCAGCATTTATTGTTGTATACAATAAACTTTCACTGCATATTCCACAGCATCCTGCACGATCTTTATTTCGTGCTGCTTGTGTTTTTGATCCATTGTACATTAAAATGGGAATTCTATTTAGAGATATTCAGCAATTACAGAACTTTCTAAACCACAAATGAACTATTGAGGGAATGATCAATTTATTGTGGTTGGATGGGAATGCAATCAAACTTACCAATTTTATCAAAAATTGCATTGGATTATATTTGGCTTCCGATTTCTTAGTTATAGTGCTGAGCATAGTATTTCTTTATACAATAACCTTTTATATAGTGATCGTCAAAATCTTTCGTGCGAATCATTAAAAAGATTATATATGTTGTATTTTAATAAAATAATTGATTTTTAAAGCGAAATATTATATTAAAATAAATCACATAAAGTCACCGAATTGATTAAATCAGTGTCACATGATATCACTGAATTTTTGCATATTTCGACCAATGATAAATTAGTGGACACATGACTTGGAATTTGTGGCTGCTACAAAATATCACGTGCTGGTGATTCTTAAATTTCGATGTTTCAAAAAAAATTAAAAAAATTCGAAAAATTGTTTTTAGCATTTTGAAAAATGACAACCGAGGAACTTCAGACCCTTGTTCTTACAACTCTTGATGCTAAGGGATCGATTGGAAATACTAAAGAAATTAAAGATTCTGATGACAAGGAAGTGGATCAGCTAGCATTATTAGGCGCCTTGAAAAGTTTGAGTTTGGATAAAGAGGTTGGATGATATGCATATCACCAATATTGAAAAACTTTAATTTACAATTCTCTATATTATGAATTAGATGGTCAGATATGAAACCATCGAGGATGAAATATGGGTACTTACAGACGAAGGGAATGAGATCGCGAATAAAGGTAGCCATGAAGCTAAGGTTTTTGAAGCCATTCCTGCTGGTGAAGAAGGGATAGTTATCTCAGAATTACAGGTTTATGTACATTTTAAATACTTCTTGTTTTTACTTATGATATACATGAAAATAAAGAATTTCAAATGTAGAAACTTTTGGGTGACACTACTAAAATCGGTCAAGGGCAAGCTTTTAAAAATAAATGGATCACTAAAAATGGCAACAACCTAATTCGTGCTGTAAGTTTAGCAAAAGGTTAAATATAATGAAAATATTTAATATAATAAAATTTTTCAATAATAATAATTCTTTTTATAAGAAAGGTTGACTCAATTGTAGACCAAACACGTATCGATTTAGAAACTATTCGCTCAACAGGAAAGCATCTTAATCCAAAGGTGTTGGCCGAATTAAAAAAAAGGAAATTGTGTGATAAACAGTATGTTGCTTTAATAATAGTATTATTATTATGCCATTTCTGCGAGATTTGATCTTTATTTACATATCTTTTTAGCAAAATAATTTCTTATTCAGTTACAAAAGGGCCACAATTTTCTCTGACTATTGAGAAGCAAGCACGTGATATAACTGCTGAAATGCTCCAAAGGTATTATAAAAGTAATATTTTCAATTTGATCCGTTAATTTTGATGTTAATTCAATTTTTCCCTTAGTGGAGAATGGAAGCAAGCAAATTTCAAGAAATATAATTTTGATGCTCTTGGTATACCTCCTACTGGTGGTCACCTACACCCGTTGATGAAAGTTCGCGAGGAATTGCGACAAATTTTCTTTGAAATGGGGTACGTTCCTTGTGTATCATTTCTACATAATTATATTGTTAATAAATTTAAATGTCCAAAAATTATATAGTTTTGAAGAGATGCCAACTAATAAATATGTCGAATCATCCTTTTGGAATTTTGACGCGCTCTTTCAACCTCAACAACATCCTGCACGTGACGCACACGACACATTTTTTTTAAAAGGTAAAGTTTTATTTTTAATTTGAGGCATTATACACGAATTTCTTACAAATATTTTAGGGACAAATTAGATCCTGCAATTAGCACACAGTTTCCTACCGAGTATCTTGAACGTGTTAAAGAGGTACATACTAATGGTGGATATGGTTCCATTGGATATGGTTACAACTGGAAAATAGAAGAAGCGCAAAAATTGCTTCTGAGAACACACACTACTGCTGTGTCATCTTTCATGTTGTATAATCTCGCTCGGAAAAAGGAATTTAAGCCAGCGAAATATTTCTCTATTGATCGTGTTTTTAGAAACGAAACTGTAGATGCTACGCATTTGGCTGAGTTTAATCAAGTGGAGGGTGTTATTGCTGATAAAGGTCTAACACTTGGAGACTTGATTGGATTTATGGAAACTTTTTTCGGAAAAATGGGTAATTTATCCTGTTATTCACACCTTCAATTCATTTTATTTTAATACCCCGAGTAAAAATTAATTTATTAATTTATTAATAGGAGTTAAAAATCTCCGATTTAAACCTGCTTACAATCCATATACTGAGCCTAGTATGGAAATTTTTTCATATCATCAAGGTATTAAAGAAATTTATATATTTGATATGTTGAATTGTATTGGAAACTTAAAATAGTAATTTTTTTTAACACTTAGGCTTAGGCAAATGGGTCGAAATTGGTAATTCGGGTATGTTCCGTCCTGAAATGTTAGAACCCATGGGTTTAGATCCAGAAATACGTGTTATTGCATGGGGGTTAAGTTTAGAACGACCTACTATGATTAAATATGGAATAGATAATATCCGAGAGGTAAAATGATCTTTATGATTCTTGAATTATTTTTATATATATAAATTGTAAATTTATTATCTTTTTTCCCCCCTAGCTGCTTGGACATAAAGTAAATTTGTCCATGATTGAAAGTAATCCTATTTGTGCATTTGATTTGATTTGAAATTTCTAATCACCATAATAAAACCTTAATAAAAATAATTATTTAATCGATCCATGTAATGTCATTCACCATCAGTTCAAATCAACAGAATAAAATTCCCGTGATATGCTGAAGCAATAAAAATTAATACAATGTAATGTGGATCACGCAAAATAAATACAAAAGTTCAGGAATTTATGATGTTTACTTACTTTAATCTAACTATTTTATGAAGAGATGGTTTTAGGTTTGACATTTCTAGGTAGATGTATACTAGCTTGCTTTAATGCATGTGTTTGTATCACAATTATACCATAATTCAAGATTACTTAAGATCAAAGGTTTCTCAATCAATAAATATCTTAATTTTCTATTAATCTTAAAATAATAATTTTTATCAAAGTGCAACTGCTTTTACTTCATCTTTTCTATTTTAATCATAAGTGAAATTTCACTTAATATCATATGACTTTTTATACTGATTTCAACAATTTTAAATCTTTATTAAAGATATTTACCTTTTTTACTGCTACAACTTCTTTTTAAAGATTAGTAATATATATAGTAAGTGATCAAAAGTTCTGGCAAATGCTGATCATTCAATAATTTATTAACAAGTATTTTAACTTTAAGTGATTATAAATCAACATTAATATCTTCAAATTTGAAAAAAAATTTTAAATAAAAATAATGTAAGATTTTCTAAAAAAAAAACATTTTTTTTTAAATTTTTAAATTCTTTTATTGTTAAATATGTTAAAAATCCATAAACTTGCTTCTTTTGAATATGATGAAGTTGTTAACTTTATAAAGATTTATATAATGTTACAAATATTTCTAAAACTCTAAATATATAAGAAATATAATATATTATATAAATTCTATAATTTTACTTTGTTTAAAATTATTAAACAAAATTTAAATATTTTACAAAATTTAAAAAAAATAAAATTATATTAAAGCTTATAAAAATACAAACTATTATATATAAAACTAAAATTAAAATCCAAAAGTTAAAATATTTCAATTTAGAGGTCTTATTAAAATTAAAAGTCAAAATTATCAAAATTATATTATTATATTATGATTTTTTTATACTTAAAATATTAAAATATAATATTTTGATAATATTTTAATTAATATACTTTGTTTTTTATAAAATACCTATCATTTGAATTCTTTTAATTAGATAAATCTAATAAGTTAAAAATAACTAAATCCTAATCAGACAATTATGAGATAATTGCAAATATGTTTTATAATATAAGCTAACTGAATCTATTGAGATTTATAAATCTATAATTTTGATTAGGTCTTAAAATTTAAATAATTTAATCAACATCACTCTGATTTTTATAAAATAATCTTTCATTTAAATTCTTATAACTAACGTATCTAATGAGTTAAAGATTATTAAATTCTGATTAGTAGGTAATAAAATAGTAATTTTTGAATAATTATAATATTTTAAATTATAAAAATCATGTAATATAATATAATTTAAACGTTTTGATTATTTTAATTTTAGTTTTATGTATAAATCTTAGTAGAAATTAGTGAAATTAAAGTTTAGATATTTGATAAATTTAAAATAAGTTTAGACAAGCAATCTTACATTTTATTAGTTATATTTCTAAGATATCATAATAAAATTAAAATAAAGAAAAAATATTAAAAAAATTAATAGTTAATAATAAACTTTATTACAAAATAATAATAAAAAAAAAAAAGAAAATATTTAATTTTATTATTTTAAAAAGTTATTAATTTAATTTATTGATTAATTTTTTAATTTAATTAAAGCAAAAGTATTTAAAATTATAGAAAATTTTAAAAAATTATTTTAAAAAAAATTATAATAAATAAATTAAATATAAAATTATAGTTTTTCTTAAATACAAATTCAGTTTTATCTTATTAAAAATTATATTTATAAATATATAAAAAATAAATTTATATAGAAAAAATAATCTAGTCCTAAAATTATATAAATATTATTTTTATATTCTAAGTTCTATTCAAACAAAATTATAATTTACAATTAAAAAATTCTTAAATATTTTTGAAAAATTGATTTTATTATTTTAATATAATAATTTATAAATTATTTAAGAACTTAACCAATTTTTTAAAGTTAATTTTACTTTTTTTGCTTTTTATAGTATTAAATTTAAAAAGATTTAATAAAAATAAAAAAACAAATATAATATTAATAAAAAATAATAAAAATAATAAAATAATAATAAAATAAAAAATTTTATTTATTATTATTTATTATTAAATTATAAATAATTTCTGATTTAATTTAAAAAAAACTAAATATTATAATCTGTAATTTACAAAATAATTATTATTTTAAGTAAAATATTTTAACTTAAAAGATTATAATTAAAATTAAAGTTAAAATATAATTATGATAATTAAAATATATTATAATGATCAAAATATATTATGATAATTAAAATCAATTATAATAATTAAAATTAAAAAATATTTTTAAAAATCAAATATTTATAAAATAATAAATAATTGAAAAAAAAAATAATAATTAATTAAAATATAATGATTTAAAAAGATATTAGTAATCAAAAAATTAGTAAAAAACTTAATTATTAATTTTACATTTTTTTAATAACTAAAATTTTTTTATTATTAAAAATTTTAAGTAATTTATTTAATAATAATAATTCAATTTTTTTTTTGAAAATTATTTATTAAATTAATAATCAAAGAAAACATTTATTTAATTAATAATTAAATTTTTTTTTTAAAATAAAAAGAAATATTTTATTTGAATTTAATATCTTAAAAAAAGAAATATTAATAAAATAATTATTTTTTACTAAAAAAATCTATTTTAGCTTTTATTATTTTAAATTTAATTTATTTAAGTTCAGTATTCTAAAAAATAAAGAAAGAAATATTAATAAAATATTTTTAACTATATAAACTTACATTAGCCTTCTATTTATCTCAAATCTAATATTATAAAAATAAAGAAAGAACTATTAATAAAATATTTTTAATTAAATAAAACTCTTTTAAATCTTTTATTTATCTTAAGTTTAATTTGTTTAAGTTTAGGTATCAGTATGATTGACATTTATTATTAATATAATATAAGAATATCAAAAGTATAAAGTTATTATTAAATAATATCATAATCATATTTTTAGATTTTGAAATTCATTCATTATTAAATATTTAAATATAACTAATAAAATAATAATTTAGCTTAAATTTATAAAGGTAATATTTTTAAAATAGATTATAATTATCCTTAGAGTATTTTATATATTTATATAAATAATATTACTAATTGAGTTGTATTTTATAATTTTTAATAAAAAAATATTATAGATTTGATAAAGAATAACCATTATTTTTTCTTTTCTAATTTAGTGTAATTAAATTAGTTATGTATATTTATTTATAAAAAAAAGAAGGAATAAAATAAATCAAGGTTTAAATCAATATAAAAAAATATATACATATATTATTTTTAATTATTTAAAATTTATTATTAATAAAATTATTATTTTATAATTATTAATTATCTTTTGTCAAAAAAAAAAAACTATATATATAATTTGATTAATTGATTTGAATTTTGTCAAATTAAGCTATATTTTTTAATCTTACTTAATATTAATCTAAAATTTTATTAACTTGATTTAAATTTTTCAAATCAAGTTAAATCAGATAATAGATTGACTTGATTTAATTCAAAACTCTAGTTGTAAATGCGATTACTTAAAAAAGATTCTAAAAAAAGTTTGTTAAATTATATAAAACATTTTAAATTTAAATAAAATATATTTTTAATAATCTAGTTAAAAGCAATTGATGATGAAAATATATAATATTTAAAAAATACATAATAAAAAAATATTTTATTACAAAATTATTATATATATTCTTTATCAGAAAATATATCTTAATTAATATTAGAATTAATCTTATCCAATTTTTAATAATAAACTATTAAACTTTAGACTTAATATTTAATTCAATTTCAATTCTAAATAAACTATAATTATATAATTTTGGTCAATTATAATTTTATATACTATAATTCTAACTAAATTTATAATGCCAATCTAACTTAAAAATTAAATAATTTTAAAAAACAAATTTGATTTTTAAATATATGACAAAAAATTTAAATTCAAAATTTTTTTTACTAAATCATTATTATATACTTATTTTAACATAAAATTTATTCAAAAACAAAACTTTTTTTATTTAATACATCTAATAATATATATAATCACATAAAAATCTATGGTAAGTGCATCTAAAATTATGATAATTCAGAATTAGAGCTTTAAACAATTTAATTTATTTGGTTAATCTAATTTGATATTTTTTTTAGTTCAGGTTATAACAAATAATTCTGTTCTAATCTGACCTATTTGACTTAAAAATTCAGTAAAATTATTCTAATTAAATAATAGTATATTTAAGAAAAATGATAATAAATGATACATTATCATCCAATTAAAATGATATATGATCATTCTCTTGATATATCATCATTTTACAGACTCCTACCAAAAGAGAATTTACTAGAAGTTCTTTTGTTTCATCTCTATTACTATTTTCATCACAATTACCATCACCATTATTATCTTCTTTTCTATCACCATCTTTTTTTCATCTCTGTCACTATCATTATTTCCTTTTCTATTACTATTTTTATTTCCATTTCCATCACTATCATCTCTTTTTCTATTATCATCTTCTTTTTCATTTCTATTACTATCTTCTTTTTCATTATTAGTGTCACTTACATTATCTGAATCTTTATTAAAAACAGATAAAAATTCAATGCTTTGTGAAAAATTACATAACTTCAAGATGATCTTATTAAGAATGAAAAAATACTAACAGTCTTTAAATATAATAGACAGTGTGCTGTTTATGAATATCTTATACATATAAATGATGATAATAGGAAAATAAAAGCTAATGAAAAAGTGATGCAAATAGTTTATATTATTTTAAAGTTATATATCGCTAAATGGATTCGTACTATGATCAAATTTTACTTGAATTACTAATTATTTTCAGTTTCATATTGTAAAAAGTATTAAAAATATCATCAACTTGTTAATGATAAAGATATTATATTAAGTTTACAATAATGATTATGAAAAGAATTAGGTTCAAATGATATTGACATAATTTATTTTAAGTAGTATATTGAGGATTTTATTTTGCTTAAACATATAGGAATTTAGAAAACAATTTGCTAAAAGATAGTTGCATATCTTAGGATACTGATTTGAAAGATATTGAAAGGATATTTATTTTAATGAACATAAACGAGAGGATGTTATATATTAAAAAGAATTTTAAAAATAATAAAAGGATTAGAATAATAAATAGCTAGATATGAGGGAGAAGAAATGGAAGTAATTTTACCAGTACTTAAATTAAATAAATGAGAATTGATTCTTGTTACTTATAATAAGTGTATATCATTTATCTAACAAAATCACAAATCTAAAATGAAAGATTGTGAGCAATACCTTTAAGATAATCTATAAGTTCTCTATTTTGCGATCATTATATACTATTTGTATACAATCTTTACATTCACAATCTTATTTCTTTGTAATAATCGTGATACTTCTTGCAAAATGGATTTTACATAAAACTGTACTTGTTTTTACTCATTTTATAATTTTTTTATAATTTTAAATATACTTATATGAGCATGACCTACTAATGTTTTCTATCTTCTATACCAAGTCTTCATATTATTTTGAGTTCTTGAAAATGAATATTCAATATTATCAGTGACAGACTAAAATAAAGGTGAAAATAATAGTTTTGATTAAATTACATTTTCATTTTATAATGTATATCTAATTTTTCCATAAATATAATATTGTCAAATCAATCTAAAATTTAGCTTATTTTTGCTATTTATTAAAAGCTATAGGAATTTTATTGTAAGGTAAAAAAGCAAATGCTAAAATATGACGAATTAATAAACTAAAGTTTTCATCAGTTCTATATTGAATAGTGAGATCAAAAGCCTATATTTTGTGATATATATTTTGAGATAAATGATAATGACAACCTTTATTTTACACTTATTAAAATTCTACATGGATAACATTAATTGCAGCTTATTCTAAATCTGTTAAAATAAACTGTGATTGTAAATCAATATTATGCTCATTATTAAAATCAATTAAATTCTGAAATAATGTTCTATAGCATTCTTCAAATTTGTGAGATATTAATGCAAATACTAGTGACATAATCTGTGAATTTTTATTTTCACTAACATGTTTATGAATTGTATATAGTTATTTAAAAATTGTTAGAACTGTCTTAAAATATCATTCATAATCCAGAATGGTGATTGTGTTAAATGTATTATATTAGTAATAGTTGTAAACATAAATACTCTTTTATCATCTATGATTGAATCTCTAATTAAAAACTCTAATCCATTTAAAGTTACTTGCATATTTTTAGAAATGTTCTAAGATGTTGGCTCTGCAGGAATATTAATATGTCAAACTTGCTTAACTGTTTGATAAAATGCATTATGTGAATATATTTCATGTGAACTACTTGTAACAATAGTTTGAATAATTTATGCAGATTATTTATCTTCTATAGCATTTTAATAAGTTTTATTTTTCACAATACTAATAATATAAATTTTCTCTATTTTTATCTTTAACCATAAGATACCCATGAATATTAAGTTTAACTTTATTATGAGTAGAAAAAAACAGCTTCACAAATAATATTATTCATTAGAAAATTTTGAAAAAAGATATTGTTATTGATCACATATGTAATAATACATAAAATAATTTTAACTTTAATTAGAATGAAACATTTCAAATACATTAAATAAAACTTTTCTATATTAAGTAATATTTTGCATTGTATTTTACAATAAATAGTATTTCATATTGTATTTATCATCTGATATCAAATAGTGAATGTGAATTTGAATTTTCTTAATTAGCAATTGTCATATGAATTTCCCATAAAAAAAAAAATTAAATATCGGTAATTTGATTGTCGGTAATCCAAGTGTAGGGTAAAATGTAATTAAACCAAACCCTTATTTTCAATTATTCAAAATGAAGCACATTTTTTTTCATTTTTTCATCATTTTTAATATCTATTTTCTTTATGCAGTTGTTAAATTGTTTAAATGTAATAAATGTGGAATAGTGATGGATAGGGATATTAATGGTGCTCGGGGAATTTTCTCCGATGGGGCTGTTTGTGTATAGTGAATTCACTATATATGTACATACACTAATTGATTGTTTTATATATAGTAATATATATTAATGATCGATTCAATCCATCGCGCATATATGGAATAAATTCTTTAAATGATAGTGAGCCTTCTTCATGCTGATACGGTTAAAATCACCTAAAACTATTAAGGATCTAATTATGAACGATTTGTTATTTATTTTGAATTTTATATCCGGTCAAAACCGAAACTGCGGGATCTTCAATAAAATGTAGGAAATTTCGGTATTATAAATATAATCGAAATTGATTTCTCACGAATGGGAAGTTTATGAGGAAATTATGACAACATATTCGATGAATTAGTAGAAAAACTAAACCAGATTAATTAAAAAAAAAATTTTTTTCCAGCATCTCCCTCAAAATCATGACGGAGCCGGCTTCTTCCTTTAAATCTATAATTCTCGTGACTATATTCGCAGTGTGTGTTTCCCTTTTCGCATATAATACCGAAGTTGGTAAAGACTTCATTGATAAAGTTCCGGATAGCTTTTTTCTTGCCATATACATAAAACAAACTGCCGAAATGGATACCAAAGACTTTACTCCCATTGAAGTCTTAAGAGATATAACCCTTACCGAACTCAAAGACAATACAACATTTAAAGCAGGCATTATTTGGAAAAGTAATCCTGCATTGATATTAGTTGGTAAGTGAATCGACTATGAGAATGTTTTGGTATTGCAAGTATTCTTTATCTCATTTATTTTATTTTTACAAGTTCGTCGACCTGGTTGCCAATTATGTCGGGAAGAATCTATGAGAATTTCTTCTCTGCGTGAATTAATATCGGAAAAAATGGGTCTAAATATGGTAGCAATTGTACATGAGAATCTGAATAATGAAGTTGAAGATTTTAATCAAGGATTTTGGAAAGGAACTGTATATTTCGATAAAGAAAAAGCATTTTTCAGTGCAATTGGGTATGTGAAATTAATTAGTTCATGCTACCTTTTTTTTTTTATGTTTCTTATACTAATTAACTTCTAACATTAGAGGTGGTAAAATACAATATGCGGGTTTAACGAATATACTTAAGCCATCTGTATGGTCAAACATCCGGAGAAATTACAATAGTGTAAGCGAACGATCCTTTTTTTTTTTTTTTTGCTAACTACAGAAATCAATAATATAATTTTTTATAGGGTGTCGGGGGCAACTTTAAAGGAGATGGAAGCGTTTTGGGAGGACTCTACATTATCAAATCTGACACAAAAGGAGAAGAAGTAATTTATCAATATCGAGAAAAAGTATGGGGAGACCATGCACCTCTCGAGGAAGTGTTGAAAGCATGTGAACTCGTTTCCCCCAAAAATGGTGAAGCTTCAATCCAATCTGACATAAAAGCAGCTTTGGAAAAGGTTAAATCCGAAACTTTACTTTCAAATAAGGATGAAGGTCCTTCGAAGACGTGTAATTCTCAAGAATCTTGTGGTTAATTTTAATTTATACATGTATGGTATTCATTTATGAAAAATAAAGTATAATTGGTAAATTTTCTATTGCATTAAATTTTATTCATTTTTATATCTACATTATTATTGGAGATGAAAGTTATACCTAATTGTTTTTAAAGATGTAATTATAAATTTAATAAATAACAATCAACATACGATTTTCTAATATTGTTACATGTGTTTACTAAATTTAAATAATTCTGTATGATCCCAGAATTGACTTCAAAGAAAATTTATCTTTATTATTTGATTTTTTCTTTACTTTTCTTTTTTTACAGGATTGAATCAATCATTTTGATCCTTTTTTTTTTTTTCAATATCTTTTTTTTTTTTTTGTTTTTATTAACTATAATATGAATAAACTAATTCTAAAACTTCTAATTTCACATCACATTTTTTCAAGAATTCATCCAATGCTATGTAACTAAAAGTCCAAATTTTAGGAAAAATCAATTTCCTCAGTCCCTTTGGTATCAAATTTATTATTTTCAACAATTGCTCGCTTGGATTAATTCCCCATGTCCCATTACATAACTTCAATTTCTTCAATGTGTGATATTCACTCAATATTCTAAAACAAACGATCAAATCATGCACTTCAATGTAGAATTCCAATTCACTGATATGATGACAATATGTGATTATAAAGGTGAGCAAATTGAAATCAATGTCATGTTGACAATTCAATGTAAGTGAACGAAGCGTATAAGAAGAGGATCTTATCAAAAACAATAAGGAATCTTGAGAAATTGATGATGCTCGAACGCTCAATGTCTGTAATGATAGGAAAAACAATGATGATGTTGAGTAAGGATCATCAGATTTGTTATAAGAAGAATAACTATCCGTAGAATTCGTGTAACTACAACAATTCTTTTGTTTGAAATCACCTTGATCATTATTCGTAGACGTTGTTGAAGAGGGTTGAAGAAGGAGGTTATCATAATTACTTTTAATATTATTGGAGTTTTGTTTGTTACTGATAATATTATTATCCCAAGAACAATTTGTTAAAATTAACGTTTTTAAATTTACAAAAATTCCAAACAATTTCAAGTCAACATTCCTTTCAAAAGTTATTGTATCAAACTCTAAATAAGTTAATGACCTTGATTGAGATTCAAGAGAATTGATGAAGTTCAAATTTAAATCACAAAAAGAAATAGAGATGTATTGTAATTTTTTTTGTGACTTAATTAAATTTTCAAGATGTTCTCTTTCTGATCTGGGTGGATCATTACGAGATGATGATAAATTCTTTGACATTTTCGTCTCTGTGGTGTATGTAGAAGTAAATATTTCATAAAAGGGATCCAATAAATTTGTCGTTCCTATATCTATATTTTCAGTGATATTATATGTATTATGTCGTACATACGGTGATGATAATATTAAATCATTGATCATTGCGTTTGTACGAGCGACACTACCACGAAGGCCCGTATGCCTTTGCGGTCTGATGGGATTTGGTATAGGAAAGTAGGTCGTTATTGGTTCAAGCCTTCCAATACCACCATATTTCAAACCATATACACCTCGTTTAGATTCTGTCGAAACCTTTTCTATAATTAATTTTCTCAAATTTTGACAATTGCTTGATCTAGTAGCAACATCCAAATTCCTTTCTTTATTTCCCCATCCAGAATAATTAAATTCTCGTATTTGTGGTAAGCATCTTAATAAATAAAAACCTATAACCTCATCATGATCAGTATTAAATGTCAATTGATCAAATGCCGAACATTGCTTATTAAACAACAAACTCAATTCTTTTACCACACATATGATCATCTTTTGATCGGGACTCATTAAATGATCATGAAAAGTGGAAGATGAAGATAGTTTATTACTTGATGAATAAATGTTTGTATTTGTGTTTTCTTTAGTGTTAGAAGGATTAAGAGTGGGTGAAGTTTTAGATTCTTTATTATTAACCCATTTCCGAACACTTTCCCATAAATCATTTGTAGCGATCCTTCTCAAGTATCTAGCATAATCAAAATTTGGCTGAATTCTTGAAGATATCTTTCGTCTTAGTATTTTACATTCGCGTTTCAATTGACATTTCGATTCATTATCCATACATTGTATATAAGTTTCCACCAGTTTTGGAGAAGCACCTCTCTTTGCACACAAGTAGAAGGGTTGTCTCCATAAAATTGGTAAAACATTTTTGCACCAAAAGCGATTTACTAATAATATGGAATGTAATGAAATTTCGTCGTCTTGTAAATGTTCAAATATTTCTTGTAAACATTCCGCGGGAATTGAAACAATCATTTTTTGAATAGATTTTTCAGAAATAAAAAAAAAAAAAAAGAAAAAAAAAAAGAAAATAAAGAGGATAGATTGTATTGTGTAACATCTATTTCTGCAAATTATAAAATTTGTAAAATTACTTTGATTACGCAATTTGTGTAATTTTTGGCGGAATTTACTTAAATTAGGCACAATTTAAATTATGAGCATTGACCATCATCTATTTCTCTCACGATTAATTTTGATAATTTGATAAAACTGACCATCATCTAAAAAAATCAGATATAAAAAAAAATTTTCAATCTTTTTTTTTTTCCTAGAACAAATTATAATCAAAACGCACGTATAATAATAAAAAATTTTTAGCATATATTCAAATAATTCATAAAGCAATTTATGAAAAAAAATATAATTCGCAAAAATATAACATAAATATTACCAAAATCTACTAATTAATTTTCTATCTAAAAAATATAAGTAAAAAATGGAAAAACCATTAGGAACGCAACGAGCATAACACAAGTTTGTATATTTTTGGTGAATAAAAATGATAAGAAGAAAGATAAAGAAAAGATATTAAAAATTATGAAAACGTCAAAGTTTCTTGCGATATGACGAAAAAAAAAAAAATTTTTTTTTTTGTTGAAAATGAAGCAAAATGAAGCGCAACTATAACAATGATATTTGATAGCCTTATTAATATTTATCCCAAGTATTTACCAATCCTTTAACAGCAATAACAACACCTCCGGTAACCATTCCCGTAACTTTCCTTGCAATTTCTGCATACATCCAACCAATAATCGGTAAAGATTCCACCAAATCTTTTAAACTCCAAATATCCTCATGTCTAACAATTTTATGTTGCTCATTGAACTCAAACCTTGAAATTATACGCAGAATAAATTCGTTGTTAAAACATTGATTAGTTTTGCCAAATATCATACGCAAGCACGGAAATGGAGGGATGCGAAGAGGAAGACGATATCTAATCAAGGCATCGATGCAAACCAAATGATGATTTCCAGCTATTTCGCTATTAGTAATTGATTGTATTTCAGGTGTTATGGAATAAAAGAACGTGGAAAGCAAGAGAAATTGATTTTTAATCTGATCATGTGATTCAACCAGCAAAATCGGATTCTCAAAGACTAAAAGAGATTAAAAAACGTTGATAAATTTTCAATAAATTAAGTAAATTGGTTCCTTGGTGAATTAACGTACCAGCATTAGCATCATAATAATTTGTAATAACATTTTTCTGAATTTCTTTTTTCTTTGAAAATAAACTTAAATGAACAAGTCTAGCAATAACTTTCTCACTTAAGTTTGCAACTTCACTTCTTTCACCACTCGGTGATCCACCACCAATACGATTTATATGCGTGAAAGAATTGTTATAAAGAGGAGCTGTATTATTCAATGAATTGATATTAAGTCCGTATAGATATGGATTAATTGGACGTGATCTCGATAAAACTGAGTTTGGATCATCGTAGCTCATTTTTATTTATCTATATTAAATTATCTATGCTTACTATATAATATTGTTTACTCGAGATGTTTTTTTTATATTTTCCAGAGAAAATTTTCAAGGAGAAAAAAAGTTTATTTTCATATGAACAAACAAAAATAGGTAAACAAATATATGGAGATTGCGTCAGATATAACGTAATACAAAAACATAGATCGTCATGACAGCATGAAATTTTGAATTCTGAATTCTGAGAGGTCCCTTAATACAATTTCAATAAAAAAAAAAAGAAAAAAAAAAGGTAAGTTTTTATAAACAACTAATTAATCAATCTGTTCGAACTTAGATAATCAATTAATAATTTTTGTTGTTAATGACTATTATTTTATATAAAATTACATAAGTAAATCTTTGGATTAATTTTTAGCTAATTCGTAAACTTGAATTTTACATAATAAAGCAATTGATACCCCGAAATTAATAGCGATAAACTGGTGAATCATTGGTTTTAATGTAGGCCCATCAAAAAAAAAAATTTTCTTAATAATATTATATAGAAATGGATAAAAGAATGAATTGAAAAGATTATTAATACTCTGAAAGAAGTTAACCAACAATCAGTCAGAAATCATTTATCTCTTGCGATCATGGAATTGTAGCCTCGTCCTCCATATCCTCCATTTGCATAATTTCTCGACATGCAATGACATTCTTACAGAAGGCGTACTTCTGAATTTGCAATTTCTTGACTGGCGGATAATCCAAACCTTTAAGTCATTAACGCGACCTCTAACTGAAATCCCAGTTCATAACATTAATTAGCACACATGTCTCTAAAAATGCTAGTGATATAATTTGAATATTGTTTACCATGCGCACGATGCCTATTTCTGAAAACAAACATGTCGATATGCAATATCATGTCATGTAATCATATCGAATTGATTTTAATTTTATCTCCAAACACATGCAGTATGTGATCAAGTAAAGTAATGTGAATAAAAGAACTTACAGATTCTGTAAAATGTTATCACTTAGGATGTAATTGTAATTAAGTTAATAACATCGTTAGGAACTTTTTGAGGAATGGATAAGTTTGGCTGATTCATCTTTTGTCCAGCGTAGACGTACAGAATTTAAAAGGTCAAAAATCGTTTGAGATTTGGAGTCATACCAAATACCATAACGGTCATCGCGCTTACTGTCAACAAACCCAAGGCTTGATATTACCAAGAGTCTCTGTTAGCTTTTGACGATAGCATATTCTCCCCCGAACAAGTGTATATCGACAATCATGTCAAATTCCCAATGAAAGTGCATAATTTAAAAAAGTAACACGCTAAATTCTTAGAAAGTCTGGCATTAACCCACACCGACAACCTGATCTCCATTTTACGTTTTTGTGTTTGAGTCATCAATTCCTCATTATATAAAAATTCCAAGACAGGAGATGACAATCCTCCAGATTTCTCACTTTATGAAGATTCTGTCTTAGGAGAAGACATGATAGGCTTCTGTGTAAAGATGCAAAACGTCATGATGAGCAATTAGAAATTCTTTAACAAATTTGCTTAGAAATTTTCACGGAATTTAAGTTTTTCGAAAACTTTTCCGCCTATGTAGTAAGTAAACAGAATGTTGTTGTTCTGATAACTTACTTTCAACGGTTCGTTGTTCATTCAACATCATATTGTATTTTTCGAGACACATTGATTTCTTTGCTCTAAATGTTTCTTCTCCGGCATTGAAGATTTCTGGAGATTTAATTACCAAGTGAGAAACATTACGTAAAAAAGTCTAATTTCACAATTGTCTTCTATCTTCCGCTTGCTTTTCATTGTTTCTATTAATATCAATTTGGTCTGATCAATGTCCTTTTCATATGACTAAGTTAAACGTTTGAGTCAATTAATTATAATCAAACAGTAAATATAAAGAAAGATACGTAAAGCAGTACTTACTTTAAACTGATTGATTGTAAAGTCCAGTGATTTGATTTATATCTTCTCTTGATGTCATTCACGAATGAGAAGCTCCTTGATTTGCACTTTTCACTAAATCTTCTCCATTTACGGGTTAAAATACATCGCTGCCGAGGGAGTTATTGACGAACCTTTTAAGCGATAATTTTTTGCCATGGTTCTTTTGGAAATATTTTAAATTTTTCACGCGTCTTACGTATCTGCATATTTCTGCATATTAAAATTAGTGTAACTTCCTAACTAGGAAAATATATACTGCAAAGTCATCTATATGATTTTTAAATTTATAAATTGATTAATAAATATTTTATTTATTTAATCTATATATAAATAAATTAAGTATTAAAATATTTAAATATCTTTAAATAAAACTAATATTGAATATTTTGTCTAATATTTAAATATTTATTTAAAATAATAATTATATTTTACAATTATTTCAATTATTTCTAATAATGATAATATTTATACTTAAATTATCAGTTAATCATATTTGTTATAGAATATGTACATATATTTTATGTAATTTTTATAAATATAATATATTATATATGTGAAATAGTGAATTTTATGATAATAACCATTTTTTTTATAGGGTTTACACCTATCATATATTTCTTTTTCTTATAGCAGAAGTAATTTTTTAATATATATATATATACATTTATATTATATATTTCTAAACAACTAATATAACTAAATAAATACATAATTTATTATAAATAATTTGAATAATTTTGAATAATATTAATTTTCATATTATCATTTAATATTAAATTAAAATCTCAAATTTTATTATAATATTAAAATAAAAAAATGTAAGAAGTTTACTAAGAAAATTAGACTTTTGACTAAAATTAAAATTTTATTATATTTTAATCCAATAATATTGTTAACGTGCAATTCTTGCGAATTACGACAGTTAGACGGGGTGTTCGAGTGGTAAATCTTTTTAAGTTTACGTAGC